TATATCGGGTTGCGCATGTAGTCGGCGCCGACCCACCTTGTACAAGCATGTGAGTTTGTCTAATTGCCCGGTTCCCGTCCCGTTTCGGCGGGGAGTCTATGTTGCAAGCTAGTTCTTGCTTTACCAGACTTTAAGCCCACACAAGCACAAGCAAGCCCACACAAGCAAGCAAGCACAAGCAATTGCCGTAATTTTTTGCTGGCCTGCCTCCTAAGGTAGTGGCGGTCAGTGGTGGTGCGAGTAGCACAGCTCTGACGGGCAGTATCAAGAGCTTGTGCTAGGAGATCGTGTAGCTGATTGGCCAATTCCTCCACGGCCGTGGGTGGGACCCCCAAGTGTAGGGCCTTGGCCTGAAGGGAATTCATTCATTCATTCAGCACACAGCCCGGCCGCCTCTTGCTCGAGGGCGGCCCACTTTGGCCTGGGCAGCCCGGGCCGCCCTCCCCCCCGGGCGCATGTTCGGTGTTGGAGGGGTGTGCCCAGCGATAGGGGGCCCCTGAAGGCATGCGCCGAGGCCGGGAAGCGTGGTTCGGCGCTGCTGCACGCTTGGCGATTTGACCAGAACCACGTGCCGCCGAGCTGCGGCCGCAGTTTCCGGCCCACGGTCTACGGTCGCAGCCACGGGACTCGGCGGCACGGCGTTTGGGCCCAAGCTTGCTGCCGCCGCCGCCGTGCCCGGGGGGGCAGCGCGGCGGCGGCGGCGGCACGCTGCGACGCCCCCGTGCTGCCGAGCTGCGGCCGTAGTTTCCTGCCAGAAGCCCACGGCCACAGCCACGGGACTCGGCGGCACGGAGTTTCGGTCCACGGCTTGCTGCCGCCGCCGTCGCAGGGGTGCTGCCTGCGGCGGCGGCGGCACGGCGTTTGGGTCCACGGCTTGCTGCCGCTGCCGCCGCCGCAGGGGTGCTGCCTGCGGCGGCGGCGGTAGCGCACGTGGCAACCCCCCGCGTTTCCTTGCCTCCCATCCACCGGACCCCGTCCTGCGCTTCACTTTGTTTAGGGAGGGGCTGCTCACTGCTCATTGCTCATTGCTCATCGCACACTGCTCAACGCTCATTGCCCTATATCCCACCCAGCCGCAGGACTCCACTGCCGCCCGCGCCCCGCCCCATCTGGCCGCTTGCGCGCCCCATCCCCCCTCGATGGGGCCCGCCCACACCGGGGCCTCCCCCCTCCCGCCCACTGCTTTCTCAACGGCCCCGAGCCGGGGCTGCCCTCATTGCATACATAGTGCGCCTTTCCCTGCTTTTCTAGTGACCTAGCGTTCCGCACTGCCGTTTGGCCAGCCCATGCTCCCGTACCGTTGCGTTTCTCCCCAATGCGCCATGCCACTTTGCCAGTCATACACACGTTTCGATGCGTGCCCTGTCAGCTGCTTGCGTTGCATGTCGCCTTGCTCCACCCCTGTTTTATTGCTTTCTCTGCTTTCGCCCGGTTCCCGTCCCGTTTCGGCGGGGAGTCTATGTTGCAAGCTAGTTCTTGCTTTACCAGACTTTAAGCCCACACAAGCAAGGGTAGCGGCGTAGTCTTCAGGTACGTTGGTCGTTGCCATCGTCATTGCATGTGCCTGTTCTAGCCGCCCAGCCCAGTCTGTGGCAGTGCGCGCGAAACATGATATGCCCCGGTGCGCAGCTGCCTCAAAGGCGTCCCTGTAGCCCGTCAACTCAGCTATGCTCATTGGCTGCTGGAACACCGTTCTGCTGCGGAACGGGACATGTGTCTGCGGGGGTGGGCGTACGTATCCCAGGGCAGAGCACGGTAGGCGCACTTCGTACGGCTCGTGGTCGCTGTTTCCCCCTGCTGCAGGGATTTGCCACGGTGCTGGGGCCCATTTTGTTACCTCATCGGGCAGAGTGGGCAAGCAAATGAGTACGTCATCGATTGTGCTACGCACTGCCTGTCCACCCACGACATGCTGGCAGTAGGTGGGCTCTCTGGGTTCGGTAGGGTCGGTGGGGATGCCGCCTGCTGGTGCCAATTGGCAGGTGGCCGCCAATTCTCTGTGTGCCGTGTCCACATGGTGTTGGCTACCAGTTGACCTGTCAGCATTCCGCAGGGTGGCGTTCCAATCGCCGGCCAGCACTAGCGTGCGGCCTTGTTGTGCACACGCCCTGCTGATTTCCAAGATGTAGGTCCCAGCTGCCCGGCGCGTGTGTTGCTCGTCGGCATCGCTGGGGAGGTAGACCCCAATAATGTCAAGCGGCCTGCCTGCCGGCGGCGTCAGCCTCACATGGCTGAGGTACCCTTGCAGTTGCGCCGGGACTGTCTGCGGTGCCAAGCTGTTGTGTGTCGTGTGCCTCTTGGCCATTGCCACCAGGACGCCTGCCTTGCCGCGGCCGGGCTGGCCCGCGTGGCTGAGCAGGCTACCACCAGGCAATACGCTCATGGTAATTTTGTATCCACGGTGCAACAGCTTGCGGTACACGTTTTTACGCTGTTGTCTGCTGTTGATTTTGAGCTCGGTCAGCACGAGCGCATCTGGATCGCGTTGCACCAGTGCCTCTATCGCCCCTTCTGCGGTGGTGCCGCCCATGCAGTTGAAGGTGGCCACCTTAAATTCTCCCACCGGCCCTGGTGCCGGTGCGCAGGCCTCGGGGTCCAGCCCGGGTGGTGCTGCCTGTGTTGCGCTCTCGCTGGCACTGAGTGGGGCAGCTACACCAGGGTCGGCTAGTTCTGCCATGAGTGTCTCGCGATCGCCTGTCGTGGCAGCGTGTCGTGTTTTGCCTCGGTTGGGCAGGGATGCACGGGACAGCCGCGCCTGGCGTTGGTGGTGGGCAAGCAGTGGCAGGCCCGCTTGTGCCCGTTGGGCTGCCTTGCCCATCGCTTCCTGGATGCTGGTCTGCCGTGTTCCTCGGTCGCTTTGCTGGTGCATGGCTGTGTGTGTGCATCGTCGCCCGGGCGACCCGCTAGGGCTGGGTGGCGTCTCCCCCTTCTTTTTGCGCATCCGGCTGGTGTCTTGTTGAGTGCTCTTCTTTGCGATTTTCCTCCTGCCCTCGCTGGCGTCAATGCACTTGCGCTTGAGACTCTTGCCGGTGGGCGGCGCAGGGCTCTGTTGGGATCCAGTTCCCCTGTCAATGTTGATGGCCTGGGCTGCCGCCACGCTCAGCCGTGTCTGATGCCGCTGGGCGAGGCGTGGTGGTGGTCCATCACCCATGGTGCCGATGGGCTGAGCTGCCTTGCCTGGCGGTGGTGGAAAGGGTGCTGGGCTTGGTTTCGGGCCCGGGCCGCCGCTTGCCCCTTGGCGGCCACGCCTGGCCATGGCTGGGCGGGGCGCGAGAATGTTTTGGACAGAGGTAAGGACCTCTTCAATTAGGTGCCGCTCGGGGGACTCGTTTGGTAGTTGGTGCAGTTCGTAGCGGGTCTGTGTATCCCACGCCCAGCCGGGATCCCTCCCTGCGCCCTGCTCATAGTAACCTTGCAGGTGTAGGTCATGCTGCTCGGTCACCGAGAGCAGGGCACTGTAATGGGCTGCCGTCGGTAGGAACCCCGCCTCGAAGTGGTTGGGGCGCCAAGGCGTCGTCTCCACAGGTGCCCCACCGCCGCAGTATGCCCACATCTGTATGATGGGGAGTTTGGATGCATAGCCCCCTTCCCGGACAAAGAGAGGTGGGATGTAGCCGCTCTCAAGCTCCCGGTGGGGGATCATTTTGTGTCCCTGGTTGAAAAGTAGGATCGGGCATTGTAGCACCGAGGCCGCGATTGCACTCGCCAGTCCGCTCAAGGAGCTTGCTGGTTTCGTCAGGGGGGTAAACACTGACGCGCCGTAGTCAGTGCTCGCCACCCCTGGGCCTGACTCTGCCTGATGATAGCGGGCAGAGTTGACCAGGAAGTGGAGCAGACACCGCAGACGCAACGCCACCCAGCCACTCTCTTCGCTGCCCAGCACCGAGATCAGCAGTGAGCGCAAGTGGCAGTTACCATCCCCCTCGGTGTGCTTCATCTCTACTTGCATTCATTCATTCATTCATTCAGCACACAGCCCGGCCGCCTCTTGCTCGAGGGCGGCCCACTTTGGCCTGGGCAGCCCGGGCCGCCCTCCCCCCCGGGCGCATGTTCGGTGTTGGAGGGGTGTGCCCAGCGATAGGGGGCCCCTGAAGGCATGCGCCGAGGCCGGGAAGCGTGGTTCGGCGCTGCTGCACGCTTGGCGATTTGACCAGAACCACGTGCCGCCGAGCTGCGGCCGCAGTTTCCGGCCCACGGTCTACGGTCGCAGCCACGGGACTCGGCGGCACGGCGTTTGGGCCCAAGCTTGCTGCCGCCGCCGCCGTGCCCGGGGGGCAGCGCGGCGGCGGCGGCACGCTGCGACGCCCCCGTGCTGCCGAGCTGCGGCCGTAGTTTCCTGCCAGAAGCCCACGGCCACAGCCACGGGACTCGGCGGCACGGAGTTTCGGTCCACGGCTTGCTGCCGCCGCCGTCGCAGGGGTGCTGCCTGCGGCGGCGGCGGTAGCGCACGTGGCAACCCCCCGCGTTTCCTTGCCTCCCATCCACCGGACCCCGTCCTGCGCTTCACTTTGTTTAGGGAGGGGCTGCTCACTGCTCATTGCTCATTGCTCATCGCACACTGCTCAACGCTCATTGCCCTATATCCCACCCAGCCGCAGGACTCCACTGCCGCCCGCGCCCCGCCCCATCTGGCCGCTTGCGCGCCCCATCCCCCCTCGATGGGGCCCGCCCACACCGGGGCCTCCCCCCTCCCGCCCACTGCTTTCTCAACGGCCCCGAGCCGGGGCTGCCCTCATTGCATACATAGTGCGCCTTTCCCTGCTTTTCTAGTGACCTAGCGTTCCGCACTGCCGTTTGGCCAGCCCATGCTCCCGTACCGTTGCGTTTCTCCCCAATGCGCCATGCCACTTTGCCAGTCATACACACGTTTCGATGCGTGCCCTGTCAGCTGCTTGCGTTGCATGTCGCCTTGCTCCACCCCTGTTTTATTGCTTTCTCTGCTTTCGCCCGGTTCCCGTCCCGTTTCGGCGGGGAGTCTATGTTGCAAGCTAGTTCTTGCTTTACCAGACTTTAAGCCCACACAAGCAAGCTACTCGTTGTTGTTGCCGGGGCGGTGGCCCTGGGTTCTCCTCCACATCCCCACTTAGCAGGAGCTTCATGCGCTTTATAAGGGCGGTGGTAGAACACGAGCATGGGAGGCGCAACGTGCTAGCGCCGGCGATGGGGGTCGCCTGACGGCGCGCGTGGTGGCGTCGCATGGGACACCTACAGCTAGGGGTGCGTGCTGCCACGCCCGCCTGGGGGCTGGGAAGGCACTCGACCTTGACAAAGGGCACGGTGGACAGCAGGGCGGGGTCCTTGATGTACACCACGGCGCGGGTGCCGGCCATGGAGGGGTTGCCGGCGATGCCATGCACCTCCACCGAGAGCTGCTCGGCGAGCGCCTCTGGGGCCGTCCCCAGCTTGTTGGCCAGACGGCCAAGGAACTGTAGGGAGGCAGGGGGCGAGTGCGCGGGCAAGGGCGGGGGCAGGGTGTGATGAGTGACGTGGGGCTGGGTGAGGGTTTGCATGTGGTGGGAATCAGGGTGCTGATCGGCTGCAGGGGCGGCTGGCAGCGTTTCCTGGCGGGGGCAGGGTGGCTGGCGTGCTGGGCGGGAGGGGCAGACATGGCAGGCGCCGCTCATTGAGCAAGGGCAGAGGTGGTGGGCGGGGCTATGGGCTGCTCCGCTCCCAGTCACCTGGGTGTTGGCGGCCTCCTTGAGGATCAGCTCGCCCGAGGGGCCCCGGTTGTAGAGCCCCTCGAACATTAGCGGGGTGCCGTTGGCGTTCTTGATGCCCAGCACCCCGTTGTGGATGTCGGAGTTCTTCACAGGCACGCCCTGCCCCGCCATGGTGCAGTGCTTCCCCGCGGGTGCCTTGTGGAACCCGCGGCCGCGCAGTTTGATGCCCATGGTCAAGCCCACGGTAGGCAGCATGGGCTTCTGCGGGGCTGCACAGCGGCAGTGGGGGGTGCCGGCGGTGGCGGGGGTTGGGGATGTATTGGTGGGCTGGCTGGATGGTGCGGCGGCCCTAATCAGCTGGCATGGGGGGGTGGGCTGTTGGTGCATCTCGCAGCAAAGCGGGGCTGCTGCCGGTCGGCTGGGCAAATAAGTTGGCGGCTCACCGCTCTGTGCAGCCTTGGCAGCACGCGCCGGGCGCAGGCGGGAGAGCTCCAGCATCGTCGCCTCGTTGGCAGCGGCGAGGTCCGCTTCCTTGGCGGCGGCCTTGGCGGCAGCCTTGGCTGCCGCCTCGCGGCGGTGCGCCTTGCTCGCTGCAGGTAGCAAGGAGCAAGTGGGGGGCGTGGGGTCAGACAGGGTGCCCTGGGATTGGGAGGCGGGGGAGGTTCTGCCAGAATGCGCAGTCCAAGCGCAGGCGGCATGCCTGTGGGAGCATGGCAGGCCCGGGCCGGGCAGGGTTGCGCTAGCCATCACCGAAAGCATGAGGAGCAGCAGCACCCAGCGATGCAGTGCTGGCAAGGCGCGCCGCTGGCCTGGGCGGGGTGCATGCTGGTTGCTGCGCCAGGGCGGGTGATGCGGCGGGGCGGCATGCTCACTCTTCCTCGTCTCCGGAGTTGCCCCGGGCGAGCGACCGCCCATGGAGCGCTTGACCCCAGCCGTAACAGCCTGCGGCATGTTCTCGTCGCCGCGGCGGGCAGAGCCGCGTTCATAGGCTGGGTTGTCGGCCATCACGAAGTCAGCAGCGCCCTCGCAGGCGCTGCTGCCGTTGCCGCCAGCGGCAAGCGGGTTGGCGGCGGCCGCGTCGGCCAGCACCAGAGAGTATGGCACCGCGGGGTCCACCATCTTGCTGCGAGCATCCAGGAGGTGGGCAGGGTGATGGTGGGAGATGCGCTGGGAGGGAGTTTCAAAGCAAAGAGTTTTTGAACTTGCAGGCGTAGGGCCGGCGCCCTGGGCATCAGCTGGCTGGCCCCGGGCTGGCGCGCCTAGTGCAGGGGTGCTCCCTGTGAGCACAGAGTTCAGTGTGAGGGCCTGGGCGGACCTGGGGGAGGGCATTGATGGTCGCTTCCCTGCTCGGGGGGCGCCCGCAGGCTGGCTCTGGCCTTCACTGATGGTTTCCGGGTGTGGAGAGGGGCACTCTGTGGCCGAGTGAGAGCTGTGCAGGCGGCTGTGCGCTTTGGGGGGTGGCAACACGTGGGCTGGCCTCGGGGACCGGCCTGTGGGGGTCTGGGCGGGCTGATTCTGGCCCCTGGTGTTGAGAAACACGGTCTGGGGTGCGTGGGAAGCAGTGCCCGCAGGGCTAGCTGCTGGGTTGGAGGGGGCAGTGGCCTGAGTGGCCGGGCACGGCTGGACCAGCCTCTCTCCCCCTCTGGCGGTGGGAGGTCCGTGCCCTGGGTTGTTTGGCGTGCATGCAAGCCCGATCGCTGGCATACACACCCCGCAGGGCACCGGCTGTCACTCCCGACCGCCGACTGTTGGTGCACTCTCTGCTACTGCGTGAGCTCACATAGCCGTGAAAAAAAACCGCTCCAGACGGTGCAAAAAAAAGCCCCGCGCTCTGCTCCTGGTGCTCATCCCCCACCAAGTGCACAGCGGGCAACTGCGACAGGTACTCTCCCGCGGGGCTGCCTGTCTATCAGGACAGCCAGCTGCGGTGCCACGAGGGCAAGGTCAAGGGGTGCGAGGAGTACCGGCCCAACGGCACCTGCAAGGCGTGCGAGTATGGCTACGTGCTGCGCAACAACAAGTGTGTGGTGTGATCGCCGCCACGGCCCAGCTGCCGCATGTGAGCCCGGGGCGCTTCAGCAATGATATCCCCCCAAACAACGGTCCTTTCCGCTCCGCTAGGCCCCGCCTCCGGCGCACGTTAGTAGCAATATTGCGCGGAGCCCCTCGTGCCCAACCTTTCCATCATTCCTGACCATCTATCACCCCCCGCCCACCCCTGTGCACTGCCCATCTGGTTTCACCCCCTCTCCTCATCACTCTGTGGCTTGTCAGCCCGGTAGCCCTTACTAGGCCCCACTCTCTCTCTCTCTGTCTCTGTCTCTGGCCCAACCGTCCTCAACTGATCCCCGCGTGCCCCCCACCCACCTCGCTGCTTCCGCACCCTCACCCGTCCGTGCCATCACACTTTTGCCAAACCCGCGTTGCGGTATGCAACACCGGCGGTCTCTGCTTGCACAGCTTGGTCCCCAAATACACATATTTCGGCCTTAGCCTGCCAGCCCTTGCGATCGCCCATGCACCGCTGCTGTCGGCCACAAACCGCACACTCTTGTGCCTGCCCTTTTGTCTGTCTGTTCCCTACCTTTTTCCTGTCGGCACTGCTTGTCATAACTGCGCAGTCACATTAGCCGGAATGAGGGCGAATACAGGTGGATGCAGCCTGGCGGCTACGGTGCCGCATGCACGGGACGTGCATGCTGCGGCAGCGAGTGCATGGAGGGCGGTGCCCGCCTACGGTCCGCCCTCTTTCGCTCTGCTTGTGCCGCACCCGCACCCACAATGAGGGCCGCCCTGCAGCCACAGGGCGGCTTGTGTCGTTGCTGGCGCCTGGCGGCGGCAGCGTGCAGCTGGGCGCTCGCACTGTGTCTGTTGTGGTGCTGTGGCAGCGCCTGGTGTGCCCGCCCGCGCCCAGGGCGGCGGCCTGCGCCCAGTCGCTGGCGCGGCAGCCCGACGTGCTGAGCAAGCTGGAGGGGGTGGCGCGGCTGCTGGCGCCGAAGCTCAGCGCGGACCAGAAGTATCTGACCAAGCTGGAGCAGCAGAAGGGGTCTGACACCTCGGCCCGCCAGGCCACCAAGGCCCTGCTTTCCACCTCCCGCCAGCTCCGCACCCTGCGCGGCGTGCTGGCGGCCACAGGCGCCAGCGCCGAGGGCGCGAGCGGCAGCTGCGGCGACGGCGGCACTGGCGACGCCCCGCTGCTGCTGGGCAAGAACACGCTGGTGCGGGCGGTGGTGCGAGAGCAGTTGTGAGAGGGTTGGGTGATAAGACCACCCCGTCTGCAACCTGGAAGTCCAGTTTGGGCAGGGCAGGGCTTGCCCAAAATGGCGCCTTGGACCCTCACACGCTTTGCCCCACATTGCCCCCAACGGATGACATTAGGTTTAAAGATAGGTTCCTGTAAAAGGTACCTGTGAAACAAAATATGGAAATCACACTCCACATTTAACTTGATCAAAGCTGGAGCTTGGGAGTGGTGTGCGAGCACGAGGCAGGGTCGATGCTGGAGTGTGGTGGTCTAGACGGCGCCACACCGCCGCCGCCACCGGGCTACGGCAAGGAGCAGGGGAGCGGCTGCACCTGCCGGCCGCGCCGGCTGCCCCTGCTGCCTTCTGAGCCGCTCGAGCGCCAGGACCACCTGCGTTGTGTGGTGACAGCGGGGGCGGGCCCCGGGCGGCGCACTGCGTCCGGGAAGGGCAGGGGCATGCCACTGGGTCAATCAACTGCCACACGGGCTGGCGTTGCCTGGCTGGTGCAGGCATGTATGCAGGCAGGCTGCCAGAGAGGGCGGCGTGCTGCAGCGCACACAGCGCACACAGCGCAGCCCTGTGCTGGCCGGCCGGCAGCCGCACCTGTGCTGATAGGAAGCAGGGTTCAGCTTGAGGCTGACACTCCTTAGGCTCTTGGCCAGTGCTTGGCGCCGTCAGTTGGTGGGCAGGAGCCAGCTAGCATGCAGGCGGGAGCGGCTGTTGGCCGATCAAGCCGGCGAGCGCGCTAGCTTGCTGCCCCTACTTGCGCCGAGCCGGGGCAGGAGCTGCTGCCGTGCCCTGCTGGGGTACAGGAGAGCTGTGTCATCATATTGGCACTCAGAGGAATGTATGGTGGTGGATCAGAGCAGGTGTGAGGGTTTGGGGAGGCCTGGCCTGGGTATGGGAGCACCCAGCCGCCGCCGCCGCCGCTGCCGCACGCCGCCGCTGCCGCGCCGCCGCTACAGGCATAGCTGCTGTGTTGTGGTACAGGAGTGCTGTGGTATCACAGAGGGACTCGAGGATGTAGGAGGATGAGACAGAGCACCTGCGAGGGGCTGGGGAGGCCCGGCCGAGGCATGGCGGCTGGGGTGTCTCGCTGCAGATGCTGCTCATGGCTGTGGGGGCTGAACCAGGGCATATGTGGACCTTGTGAACTCCCTGCTGATGCTAGGAAGGCACGTGGGTCGTGACGGGCTCTCTGAAATCTGGCTCCGTGGAGCCTGGAGCTGTCCATTCGAAAGCTCGACATCTTCTCCTTCTATTTACGCCGCCTGCGGCATGTCGGACAGCAGGAACACCGTGCTGCTGGCGGTAGGGCTAGGCGGCGCCTGTGCGATAGCAGCAGCTGTGCTGCATGGCAATAAGGTCGTCCAGGCGGCTGATCGAGGCGGCGACAAGCTCGTCCTGGCTGCCGACCGAGGCGGCGGCGGCGACAAGCTCATCCTGGCCGCCGACCGAGGCGGCGACAAAGTGATAGCCGCCTTTAGGCTGGGGCTGGAGGCCATGGGGGCTGGGCTGGAGGCCATGGGGGCCGGCCACCAGCTTTTGGGCTTCGCAGCGGTGGATGTAGCCTTGCGCCTGCGCCCTTCGTACCTCTTCAAAGAGTAAGTTTGGGCGCCAGCGCTGGCCCAAGAGCTTTCTGTCCGCCCTCACGGACTGCCCATCGCCTTCTCCTTCTGTCTCCACTGCAGCTACCCGCAGTGTGACAAGTGCGGCGAGCGTCACAGCAAGTTGTTGGCGCCTTGTCGCCTGCCGCCAACTAGGCCACGGTGCGCACCGCCATGCCCACAGGCGCGCGCCCTGCTGCCTGCTCCCATGCCGCAACTGGTGCTGTTTGCTGAATCTCTCCCCACCTTCCGCGCACTGCGCTCGCAGCCCCACGCCGCCGCCACCAGATGAGCTTGAAGGCACGCTATAGCTAAATGTTTGTGAGATGAGAATGTTTGAGAGGGATGTGTTTCTTTTTGTGTACGACCCACCACACCTCCGCCAGAGTTCCTTATGATTCCTACATGTCCGCCAGCACTGCCCTGATGATCCTTTCACCTTTCACCTCTGAAATTCTTTCTTCCTAACTGGGCAGCAATACTGCCCACTGTCTTTCATCACCAACTGTTCTCTTCTGCACTTGTGAGCGCAACGCACGGGGGAAACAGAGCAGTACCCAGCGTGGAAAGAGAAGCTAAGGAGGCAGGTCTTGTGCGCTCCGCATGGGCAACCTCGGTGGTGGTGGTGGTGCCAGTTCAGTCGAGTCTCCTCAATGGGCAGCGGCGGGAGCGGGCCCTCCTTCCAGCCACGTTCGCCTCGCGCTGCCTGCCAAAGCGATGCGGTATGGCAGGCCCCAGCAAGCGTGCTGCTGCCGTCGCTGCGTGGGCTCTCCACTGGTAGGCAAGGGTCAAATTCCACTATCTTCAGCCCCTTCCAAAGTTGTGGGTGGCACATTTTGATTTTGCGCCACACAAATTGTTTTTGGAAAAAAACGTGTTCTGACAAATTTGTGAACATCGCCACAGAACAACATTTTCTAACGTTTTGCTCATGCAAAGTGCACTTCACTCGGGTCAGAGTCCGACCCGTGACCGCCATATTGAAATGCACTCAGTGCAAAGCGGAGATTAATCAGTACATTTCACAACTGCGCAGCCGCTGGCGCTGCAGCCCGACGTGCTGAGCAAGCTGAAGGGAGTGGCGCTCAAGCTCAGCGCGGACCAGAAGTATCTGACCAAGCTGGAGCAGCGGGAGGGGTCTGACACCTCGGCCCGCCAGGCCACCAAGGCCCTGCTTTCCACCTCCCGCCAGCTCCGCACCCTGCGCGGCGTGCTGGCGGCCACAGGCGCCAGCGCGAGGCGCGAGCGGCGGCGCCGGCGGCACTGACGGCGCCCAGCTGCTGCTGGGCAAGAACACGCTGGTACGGGCTGTGCTGCGAGAGCAGCTGTGAGAGGTTTGGGGGATAAGATCACCCCGTCTGCGACCCGGAAGCCCTGTTTTGGCAGGGCAGGGCTCGCCCAAAATGGCGCCTTGGACCCTCACACGCTTTGCCCCACATTGCCCCCAACGGAAGTTTAAGGTATCTGTAAAGCAAAAATCGAAACCCACAGGTGCAGGCGGGTTGCGCTGCGTGCGGGTGGAATGTGTGGCTGCTGTTGGTAGACAGCATGCAAGGACGTGTGTATGCTCTGGTTGTCCTGAACAGGCGATATGGGTGTTACAACCCCACAACAGAATTAAAACATGGTTCAAGCCATTCTTCAAGGGGGGAAGTGTGCATGCATCGTCCCGCAAGCCCCGCTTGCCCCCACCAGCGCAGCAGGCGCCGCCGACCGCCTTGGGCAACTCGATCGAGGATGGACCATAATGCAGTGAATTGAAATCTGTAGCACAGCACCTCATCACAAGCTTGCATGAAACATGCACCTAGCCGGGGAGCGACAATGCCCTGCGCTGCGCCGGCCAAGGCCCCGCGCTCACAAGCTCACGAAGGCGGCCGGATGGCGGGCAGCCTGAGCGGGGTGCCATGGTCCCGCACAGAATAGTGCAGTACCAGGTCATCGGAGCGCCGCCAGATCCACTGTCGTACCGCCGCCAGGCTGAAGTCCCAAGGCACGGTGTGGCCTCCGCAGGTGATGATGATGGCGGCGCCGCCGCCACCGGTCCCACCAGCACCGCCGCCGCGGGGCCCGCCCACTGCTGCCGCCTGCACTGGCTGCAGCTGATGCACTCGTGCAGTGGCTCCCAGGCCGCCGCCGCCATCCGTGCCAGCCTGCTCCGCCTGCCAGCGCTCCGCTTTGGCGGGGTCCCAGAACAGCGGCTCCTCCCTCAGCGCGATGCCGTGCTCCTCCATCTTCCTCCTCACATAGTCGGCAACCTTGTTCACCCGCAGCACCCGAGGCGCGTTCAGCTTGCTCTGCAGCAGCGACGGCAGCTGAGAGCCCTGCAGGCGGCGAGGGACGAGCGAGAGCAGGGGCAGGCGGGGGTAGCGAGGTGTGGGAAGACGAGGTGTGTGTGTCTCGCCGGCCGACTGTGCTGCCGAAAGGATGGGAGAATGCCGCCCAGCCGCATTCGCCAAGCTGGCTTCCAGAAGCAAGCAGGCACACCCACCGGCAGCGGCGCCAGCTGGAAGGCCATCTTCAGCTCGCGGCTGACCGGGTAGCGACCGTGCAGCACGCAGTCGGCCACCCACTGCACAACACGCAGACAGGCAGGCAGCAGGCAGTCAGCAGGCAGGCAGGGAAGGCACATCCGCTGCCACGAAACACAGGCTGAAACGCGTCGCCCCAGGCCCCAGGCCCGGCGCCGCCTCCAAACCAGCCAGCCAGCCAGCCAGCCCAGCGCAGCCCAGCAGCCAGCGGTACCGGCATCCAGCCAGCACGCCACCACCCTGCCACCTGAGGCACGTCCTCCTGCCCCGTGAAGGCGTCGATGGCGCAGCGCCAGGGCACCGAGCCGCCGCCGCCGCCGCCGCCGCTCACCATCACCACGGGAGCCAGGGGCCCCTGGAAGCTGAAGCGGCTGGAGGGGGCGGATCCGCCGCTGCAGGGGTGTGGGCAAAAGGGGAGCGGCGTGTGTATGTGTGCAACGGTGTGCGCGAGTGTGCGTGGTGGCGGGGTGGGCGAGCGGGCAGGCCAGACATGAGGGGGCAAGGGTGGAGGACAGGCGAGTGCCACTGGCGGCAGGTTGGCCGCAACGCGTGCAGCTGGCTGCCTTGCTGGCACGCCGGCCGCCCCGGCTCACCCGCCCTGCGCCTTGCCACCGTCAGCATCCGTCATGGCTCCGCTCTCCCCGCCGGTCGCCCCCTCCGCCACAGCATCCCCCTGCCCAGCCCCTCCGCTGCCGGGGCCAGCGCCGGGGCCACCTCCCTGCTGCTGCTGCTGCTGCTGGCCGGGCTGCGGCGTGCCGCGCTGGCGCTCGGCCCAGCCGGCAAAGAGGGCCACCAGCATCTGCTCCCCAAAGTTGACCTTCAGGTCCACGGGAGCCTCCTCGTCTCCCAAATCCTGCACTAAGCAGCAGCGAACAAAAATAGATAGGTGGGAGGGGCGCGTAATGGTGGAAAGCTTGGTTTCCTGGCCGCGGCAGGGACGGTGGGAGGCAGGGGTGGAGGCGAGCCAGCGGGCGGCACGCCTCGGCAGGGCTGCGGCCTGAGAGCCTGGCGCATGCTCAGCAGGGTTGCAGGGGCAGGCCCTTCACCCCTTCCCCTCCCCTCCCCTCCACACGCACACATGCACACACACACACACACGCTCTCCCTCTCGCCACCCTGCCAGGCCCCACCTGCGCGTAGATCTCGGCGCCAAAGCACTGCGGCGGCTCCATGCAGCCCCCCAGGCTCCCCAGCTTCACCTCCGCCGCGCACCAGGCGGACACGGAGTGGGAGGGCTGGAACAGGGACGCCTCCACCTCCAGCACATCCGCCCGCCCAAAGTCGCGCACCGCGCGGCCTGCAGGTGTGAGAGTGTGTGTGTGTGCAGGTGTGTGTGTGTGTGTGTGTTTTGTGGAGCAGGCGGCAGCAAGTGATCGTTCGCCAGGCGTGGTGAAGGCTGCCTAGCCACCCCATCCCAGCCCCCAGCCCCCCGGCCCCACCTGCCGTCCAGTCCCAGCACGCAACGCCGCCGTCTGCGTCCCGGGTCACCACATGCCGCCTGTCTGTCAGCACGGCAGCGTGCTGGATGGGAGGGATGGAGGGGGTGGCTGCTGCGGGCTGCCGCTGCTGCGGCGCCGGGTGGGAGGCTGCAGGCGGGGGCGGGCGGGAGGGGAGGCAGCGGCAGGCGTGGGTGGGGCGGCGGGGGCCGGGTGCCAGAGGGTTGAGCAGAGGCGCGACGGCAACGGAGGCGGAGTGATGCCTGGGGGGACACCACTCCTCAGGCGGGCGGCGGCGGCACACGCTGGTCCGGCGGGGAGTGGTCTCAGGCAGGCGGCGCCGGCGGCGCACCACTGCCATCAAACGCCAGCCGCGCGCGTGCCGCCGCCGAGGGGCTTGCCAACAGGCAGGAGGGCCCCAGCTGCGCCGCCGCCGCCGCCGCCGCTGCCGCGCCCAGCGGGGAGCGGGGCGTGGTGGGCAGCGCCCCTCCTCCTCCTCCACCACCTG